TTTTTTTTAGCTTTTTGAGCTCAATAGATCGTATAGCTGCCAAGGACTATAAACCAACAGAGCATGATATATTGCTTTCTCGTATCAAAACGACAGGAATTGTTGAAGTCAAATTTCAAATGAAAAACGTCGATTTTCGGTAAGATTCCAGCAAGATGTTCTGATTTTCTAGAGTTAGTAATAGTAAAAGTAGCAGCTAGGAGCAATTAACTTAAAAACCTAGAACTAGCATAAGGTTATTTTTTGCTGCTGATTTAGATCTTGAATGAATCGTTCAAGTATTCAGAAAATTTTGAAAAATTCTATATAAAAAGAACACAATATTTATATACAAAATTATAAAATAATGGTTTTAGGAAAGTGATAAAAGTACTCAACACGGGAAAAATCCATAAGAAGAAAGATAAGAAAGAGACAGCGGTAGTGTGATTGGCGCATTCTGCAGTAGCACATGACACGTTTAGTAAATATGCCGTAAGACTACAGTAGTTTATCTCTGCGAATTAAAGTTATTTAATGCGCTTCATCAATAAAACAATGAATTTTGCTGTTACAGTTGCGTTTGATGGCCTTTCTGTTTGCAATTTTGCCAGTTTAAATTTAGAGTGTCTTAAACGACTTAGAATTACCTTATAAATATAATTTAATTCTCTCATTGTACTACCGTAGTTCTGAATAAAATCTAATTTTCAGTTAATCAGGTGTCAGAGAAGTTCAAGGTGTGCTTATACGATCATCTTTGCCTAGTTTGATTTGGTTCCTTCATATTTGACATGACTGTTCCCTTTTTGCTTTGTTTCCAAAGACTTTTATCAAAACATCTTAAATCATTCGCAAACTTCGACTTGAAAGCTGTAGTCGTAAACTAGTAAGCCTAACGTCAAAGGTAATAGGGACTTCCCAGAAGTCATTTTCGCGGCCTGCTCGAGGACAGAGGCCTATGATAAGCGAGAATTTTTTGAGAAGTTGAGGCTTATTTATATGAATCGTGAGGCCTAAACTTAATCACATGAGAGTATCAACTCGAAATGACTTTAGGGTATTCGACGTTGGCGGTCAACGGTCCGAACGAAAGAAGTGGATTCATTGTTTTGAAGATGTTAATGCCATTATATTCATAGCAGCGATATCAGAATATGATCAAGTGCTTTTTGAGGATGAAACCACGGTTTGTTTTTTAACGCTGAAAATTCTTTAAAATTTTTAATTCACGCGCTATTACAGAATAGAATGGTAGAATCAATGCGATTGTTTGAATCAATCTGTAACAGTCGATGGTTCATCAACACTTCTATGATTCTTTTCCTCAACAAAAAGGACTTATTTGCTGAGAAAATCCAGCGAACGAATATAACTGTCGCCTTTCCCGACTATAAAGGTAGTTGAAGTTTTTTGTTTTGTTTTTTTTTTTGTTTTTCACTTGGGAAATCTAACAAGCTAGATCGCATGCACATTGTTAATTTAAAATTCATCAGTCTATTTTTTTCCCTGTTGTTTGCCATGACGACGTAAATCTCGTGATTGTTAACGAGTTACTGAGGGAACACAGTTGCCATAGTTGCGATAGAACTATTGTTACGTTACTTGTACGTGTTTCCGTCATTTGTTATTCAGGTTTGAGACGTCTAGGGATTGTGAATGTTAGTGAAGGGGTGTAATGGAGGAAGTTTTTCAAAGAATCTAAACTGGAAATACGTAGGCGGCACAATTTATTCAATGAGGGAAACAGATGGATGATGGAAAAAAAATCTTACGAAAGAAGACCTAGAAAAAGTGCCATACTTTACAAATGTGTATTAGCCATGTAGTTCTCCTAAGACTAATGTCAGGTGTGGCCTGTAGCGTCATCCAGATTGAAAATTACTTATTTTAATTCAATTGATAAACTCATGGTGTGCTTGAAAAAAAGCTCCAAATGCAGAGGTATTTCTGTAGCTTTGCTTCCCGAGTATTTTTTCCCTTACGATGTGTTACTGTTACTACTTGTGGTGGGTAGATCTTTAACAAAGAGTTGACATCGGATTAAATAGATTCATTAAAAGCTATGCGCAATGAGAAATTCAAAACTATTTGCCATGATTTCACTAAAGGGCTTCTTCAGTTGTCTCAGTAGAATTTTCTATGACCTGAAGTTTCATTGCCAAGCACAAACTTATTAAATATGTAAAGCAATCCTACCAACGCTGTAGCAAATAGTCTAGCCTTGTGAACATACTCAATTTTGACGAAAGCAGGTGTAAAATGATATTCATATCTCTGGGCAGAAGAGTAGAAGGCGTCTGCCAAATGCGCGTCTGCTCCCCGACTTAATGTGGGAAGTGAACTTATAGTGGCCTGCATTGATTAGCCCTTCAATTTCGTCAATCCTATTATTTAATCTCTCTTTATTGCAGGTGCACAAAATTACGATGAGGCAACCGCATTTATCGAGGAGAAATTTGAAGCATTGAATGCGAATCCTGAGAAAACCATATACATGCACCAAACTTGCGCCACAGACACAAACCAAGTTCAGATGATTCTTGACTCTGTCATCGATATGATTATCCAGGCAAATCTCCAAGGTTGCGGATTGTACTAAGATATTCTTTGAACGATTTGCCTGGATTTCAATTATCCACCCCATCAAATAATAGACGGAGTTTCAGTTTTTATTTATTGCCTTTGAGCGTTGTGTTCACATCCGAATCAACTCTCTTTGTTCTCCTCCTTCATATTGTTAATTGTTGAAGCTACTGACCAATGCGATTCTTAACTGATTTACCATATTTCTTCTGCTGTACGTTTCGATCAAATTTTCTAACCTTTTGCATGACACCCTAAATATTTCATTGTATGCAATGTTTATCCAATTTTCCAAAAACTAACGCTGGAGCGCAAAGGGGCGAAGTCATGGCACATGATTGGTTAGAAAACAAATACAATACAAACCCAATCATGCTGCTTCGGCTCCGCTCGCCTGTCGATCTCCAGCCAATCACAACGAAGAAAACATGAAAGTGAAGCACCGGATTCAGAGGAGAACAGCCCAGTATGCAATATTGTTTGCAGTATGTAGGGCATGTCGACTGGTAGAAACGAATTCATATCCTGCATTAAAATAGGCGAAATACACTATAGACCGTACATATCCCAAGATGATGATCTTATTTTATATTGTATTGCATAATTTACCACATGATCTCGAATTGTTTTTGTGTCGCTTACACCATTTATACAGATTTTATGAAGCGAATTGTGATTTTTTAAAAACATTTTGAATTTATAATGATTTG